GTTCTGTGGACGGCTCAGGCCCTGGCCCCGCCCCAGCCTCTGCCCTTTCCTGAGCCCGGAAGAAGCAAATGCCCTCCGAGCAGAAGTTGCACTGCGCTCACGGGCCCCCCACTCCCGTCCCCCTGCAAGAGCCCTGGGGGTCCCACAGCCCGCTCTGCCTCTGACTTAGGGCAGAACCCTTCCACACCACAGATCCTCTCACAGAGCCGCCCCTTCCTCCTAACGCCCCACAGCACCCCACATGTGTGCACACCCAAACCTCCCCCCTCCCCCTGCTTTCCCTCCCCCCACAGCCCTCCACAGCCTTGGACACCCCTCCTCTCACACAACATGCCCACGTGCACACACACAGGTGCATACTCGCCCCCAGTCAGTCTCCTGAGGGTGTGGCTTCAAGGAGAGGGAAGCCCTTACCTGGTTAAAGCCCTTCTTGGATTTGGGGTTTTGCCTCTTCACCACTTCCGTCAGGTTTAGCGTCAGGGACTCTACACCGGAGTCTGAAGGGCAGGCAGGGTCGCTCAGGCCAGGCCCAGAGCCCCTCCCCGCCACCACCCCTGCACTGCCCGCCCACCCGACCAACCTAGCTCCTCCTGCTTCCGGCAGGCCTTGTTGAGGTTGATGGAGGTGCAGACCTTCTCCATGTTACTCCAGCGACTTCGTCCGCTGATGGCCCCCTGCAAAGGCAGCAAACCAGGTCCTCTCTCAGCTCAGGGCCCCGTTGCCTGCCACCTTCCCTTCAAAGAAGAGGCCCAGATTGCCCGGGCCGGAGCTGCCTGTCATGGGCACACCCAGGGAGCTCTCTCTCTCCTTCACCCAGGTCTGCCGGCTCCTTCACTGAGACCCCTGGCCCCTGTAGAGACCTTGCTGACTCCAGGGAGGGCGTGATATCGCTAGCGTGGTCCATGGGTCAGCCTTGTGACCAGGTCATAGGACACGAGAGCTGAGAGCACCTAAGGGGTGGCCTTGATGACCTCCTGCTGAGTCCAGAGTGAGGAAGAGAGGGGCCCACAGGCCTGGAGCTCCCGGCAGAGCCAGCCTGCCACCCCCTTTCATGGGGGACCTCCATGTTGCCAAACCCCAGAGGGTTTCTTGGTCCTTGGTCAGCTTCTGTTCACCACTCTCCTCTCCCGGGCTTTTGTGAGGGCACACGCCTGGTTCCCCACCACCTTTCTGCTGGGCCTCTGCTCAGCCCGACACCCTCCTCTGCCTGCGGTCACATGACACAGGTCTCAGGACCTTCTCCTGGCTCCTCCGCTCTTTGCACTTCTACTTTCTCCCTTAGGGAACCTCGACCACCTACACACCCCTCCTCATACTTCATGTCTGAGTTCAGGCCCATCCATCCAACTGCCTACTCTGGCTTCTTCCTTCTGCCTCTCAAGGGCACTGCAAACTCACATGTCCCGCATGCATTCCTGATCTGCTGCTACCGGACCTGGGCTGCTTCTGAGACAATGCATTATTCATCTCAGAAGACTGAAATCCGGGAGGCCGGGCCCCCTCTTTTTCCAACCCATCCCTAAGGCCTGCTGCTCACATAATCCACATCTAGCCCTCGTTCCTTCCCATCTCCACCACCACCAGCTAGACCTGGCTGCCACATTTCTCTCCTGGAAAACCACCGGAGCCTCCCATGGGCCTTGCCATGGCCCCTGTGGACCCTCCAATCTGTTCTCCACAGAGCTGCCAGGGGGCACCACCCCAAACTTAAGCCCCTTCCAAGAACACCCATTGCTCTTATGACTGGAGAAACTCCTCTCACTATCATTAAGGCCCTTGGTATTCTGGCCCCGCCTCTCTCTTTAGCCTCACCTCGTCGCCTTTGCTGTTCATGCTCTCTTCTACCACAGAGCCTTTGAACATGCTGCTTCCTCTGTCTGGGGAATACATTCCTCTCTTTTTAGCTTAACTAATGAACTCCTGTTTTCCCCATCCCCCAGTATTGACTCATTGTCCCTTCTCTAAGAAGCATCTAACTTTCCAGACTGGGTTGAGGAATCCCCTGGAGGTTCTCCCAGTACCATGTACCTCTCCTTCATCTGTTTGTCACAGTTGTAATTATGCAGCTGTGGGTCCATCTAACCAATGCCTACCATCCCTCTAGGCCAGTGATGGCGAACCTATGACATGTGTGACCGAGGTGACACACGAACTCATTTTTTTGGTTGATTTTTCTTTGTTAAATGGCATTTAAATCTATAAAATAAATATCAAAAATATAAGTCTTTGTTTTACTATGGTTGCAAATATCAAAAAATTTCTATATGTGACACAGCACCAGAGTTAAGTTAGGGTTTTTCAAAATGCTGACACGCCGAGCTCAAAAGGTTCGCCATCACTGCTCTAGGCTGTCAGCATTTTGTTCACTCTTGACAACACTCCCTGTGCCCAGAACAATGTCTGGAACCCGGTAGGTGCTAACAAACACCTGGCACACAGCTTTCAGGGTCCGTCCCGCCTGCCCACCGCCATGGCCACCAAATGTAAAGAAGCCCCATGATCACCTCCCATCAGCCCTTTGATTGCCTTGTCATCACTCGCCACTCGGACATGACCTTGGCCATGTCCTCGTTTCCTGTCTGTCTCTCTCTTCTGAAAAAGCTAAAGGCAGGGCCCAGCCCTCCCCGCTTACTGCATTCTCCCTTGCCCAGCACAGGGCCTGGCAGGAGTAGGTGCTAAATAAATACCTTTTGAATGATTGAAAGGAGGAAGAAAGAAAAGAAGGCAGGAGGGCCCCATTGTTGAGGTCAAGGCTCTCCCGGCCTGTCCCCCAAAGTGTGACAGGCTCAGAGACACATGCTCATGGGCACCCCTTCCTCCCTCACCTCAAATATCTCTTCACTCACTAATCCCACCTCCCATGCACCAGCCTGGCACACCGGCCCCAGACCATGGCCTCTCCCTCGTGGTGCCTCTGGAAGCCCAGCCTTGCCCCACGCTCCACCCGAGCCCTGTAGCCCGGCCCTGACACCTCACGGCAGCTGCTGGGCACATCCAGGAGGGGCAGAGCACAGGGGGAGGCCTCTGCGGGCTCCAGCTTGAACACTGGGGCCCGGGAACCCGAGTCTGACGCTGCGTGAGGAGGACCAGGAGCAGAGCCCAGAGGCCGTGGCCCAGCGCCGTCTTACCTTGCTGTAAATGATCTGTAGTGTTAGAGGGACGGCCTCCCGGTCCCCATCAATGCCCAGCCGCTTGCTGCCCGGACCTGTGCCACACGCAGACAGACCCTTCACTCGGTGCCCCTTACAGACCCTGGGGCCCTACCTCCCCGCCCCCCACCTCTGGCCCTCCCTCCCCAGGGCTCCACCTCCCGGGGTCCCCCCACCTGTCTCCCCGGGACTCAGGCAGCACTCACCTGAAGCCTTGATGGCTCGCGTGGCAGCAGAGTGACCCAGCTCCAGGGAATGAATGAAGATCTCCGTGGTCTTCTCCCCGGTGATGAAGGTCAGCTGCAGAGGGCAAGACCAGGCGTCAGGGTGGACCTCCTGCAGGGACCCTCCAGGCTTCTCCGACTCAGGGCCGGGGGCTGCCATGGGGTGGGGACGGGGCACAGGCTGGGCCCGACAATGTGAGGGAGGCCTGCCTGTGAGTCCCAGGGAGCAGGTGGCTGGGGCGGCAGGCACTCACCTCTGTCTGGTAGACCTGCAGCAGCACCGGCCGTGCAGCGAAGCGGCAGTAATAGAGCAGCATGTCGGCCAGGATGGGCAGCTGGCTGGGGGAGCCCTCCAGGGGCCGGGAGTCGGTCTTCAGGGACTGCTGCGTCGGGGGAGCCAGAGCCAGAGGGGCAGGCGGACAGCGAGTGGGAGGGAAAGGGAAGATGAGAGGCAGAGAGGCAGAGGAACATGCACACACACACATGCAGAGGGAGACGCAGAGGAGAGAGCCAGGGAGGGGATGGTGAGGCGAAAGCAGGAAAACAGACGGTCAGGGGAGCCCCCACAGCTGGTCTCCACATGGCTCCCTGGCCTGGCCCGGGGGCTCAGAAAGGCCCCTGGCAGAGCTGGACAGAGCGGAGCTGAGGACGGGGCCCAAGGCCCAGGTCCCCTGGATCCTTCTGAGGATCCTCCCTGTCACTGTGGTGACTCCACCCCTTGCCCCCCCCCCTGAGCCCTGTCCCGCTTCTCGCCTACTCTCTCTGCTCATTCCCAAGGGCACCCTGGTCCTCCGTGGAGTCCTCGAGCTGGAGCTCCCCAAACCAGGGCCTCTGAGCGAGGCTGGGTGACCCAGCCAGCAGGCCTTCTCTCCCCTCCCAGGGGCCGCTCACCTGGCACAGGACCTCGGGGGGCAGGTGCATGAGGCCCAGCACGTTGCGCTCATACCAGGGGTCCAGCATGCCGAGGTAGTGAGAGATGTCGTTGGTGCTCTCCTCCCACTGGGCCGCGCCCAGCTCCTGCGACAAGGGGCGAGAGTCATGCCCGGCGACCCAGGAGGCCTGCCAGGGCCCTGGGCAGCCCTGCAGCCCTCCTCTGAGCTCCCCCCTGCCCACGGACAGGTCTGTGTCACACAGCAAAATGCCACCCCCACGTGCAGGGCGGGGACATACCGCAGGGAGGGGGTGCCTCGGGGACTCGGGGGGGAGGGGCGGTGTCTGGCTCCGAGGGGCCGGGCAGGCGCTGGAGCAGGCCCCCTGGCTGCGCTTCATGGGCACGTAGAAGAACTGCAGCTTGAAGAACCGGGTGAGGAGGGGGCGATTGCTCTCCAGCAGCCTGGCAACAAGAAGGCGGTGAGAAGGTGCCCTGAATCCCTGTGGGAGGTCAGCTCAAGCCTGAGATGCCACCAGCACCAGCACCCCGCCACCCCGGCAGAGACGACCCACTCCGGCTCTCACCGCAGGTTGCTGTAGGCCCGGGCTACCTTCCCCGAGATCCGATCGGAGCCGAAGACCACCACGCGGAGGGTGGAAGCCTTGGGGTCCTCGTCCCCGCTCAGGAAGGGGCGGCGGCGCTGATGGCGCGAGGCGGGCGCCAGGAGCCAGCTGGGCAGCTGGGTGCCGAGCTTGGGCTGGGGCAGGGAGCGGGAGCGCTGGGCCCGGGAGGGGGGCGGGCCCGGGCCGTCCAGGGGGCTGCAGAGGCTCCCGGCCCGCCGCAGGGGCAGTGCCGAGTCCGGGCTGCCCTCCAGGCCGCGAGAGTCCCTCCGCAGCACCAGCTGGCTGGTGCTCTTGAACAGTTTGTAGATCCTGTTAAACTTCTGCCCGGGCCTGCGGTAGCCCCGGCGCTCCCGGCCGCCCGGCCTCTTGGGCCACTCCGGGGAGCTCTCCTCGCTGTCCTCCACGTAGCCGCTGTCCATGCCGTCCGACAGGCCCGAGACAAAGGAGGTCAGCAACTGGCTGGAGAGGGTGGCCCCCGAGGCCTGGGACGAGGCGAGGGACAGGGTGGAGTCACGGGAGGCCTCCGAGCTGGTGGAAAACAGTGAGTCCCTCTGGGCACACTGCCCATCCGTTTCCAAGTCCTCCTCCTCCTCTTCCTCCTCCTCCTCCTCCTCCTCTTCGTCCTCGTCCTCGTCCTCGTCCCCCAGGAGCCCCGGCTCCAGCAGCTCCTGTTCCTTGAGCAGCATCTCCTTCAGGATGTCTGCACGGGAAAGGGAGGCACCGCTGGGTGTCCGGGCCCGGGAAACCTCTCCCGCTCTCCTCTGGGAGGGCGACAGGTTCAGACAGAATGGACTTGGGGAGGAGGTGCCAGAAGGCGGATCAAGTCCAGCCCAGGACTCAGCGTGCGGCCCCCTGCCCTGCCCAGAGCCTGCTCAGGCCGGAGGGCTGGTGGGGAGTGGAGGCTGCTGCACAGACGGGCGGGAAGAGAGCCCAGGCCGCTGGGCTGGGGCCCCGGCTGCTTACCAAAGCTGTCCTGGTTCCAGCTGTAGGTGTAGCACCTGGCGACAGGGATGGGGATGGTGCGGAGCTTGCCTGGGTTCGCAGGATCTGTAAGAACGGGCGGGGCCGGCCCAGGTGAGGCCTGGGAAGGAGCCCTGAGATCGGCCGGCCCAGTGCCCTCACCTTAAAGAAGAGGGCAGAGTTGGGAGAGGACGGGCCAGGCCTCGAAGCTGGGTGGGCCAGGGCGGAGCTGGAGCTGAGACCTGGGGTGCTGGCTCGCAGCCAGAGGGCACCGTGGGGGTGCCCTGCCCTTGTATACGCTGTGTAAATGTGGCGGCACACACTTTGCGCCTCCTTTTACAGGGGCCAAACAGCAAAACAAGGGCAGTCCCCCTTCAGATGCGAGGACACCGTGTCCCTTCTTCTGCGGTAACACGGTGTGGAGAGGAAGTTTCCCAGGCTCCTCGGGGTGAGGTGTGGCCATGTGACCAAAGTGGGCCAAGGGGATATGGGTCGATGTGACACGCGCGACTTCCGTATTGTCTTCATGTCAAGTGAGAGGCCCTTGCCCTTGATTAGCACACGCTTTCCCTCTTCCCACAGCCCCACACAATGCGCCCAGCCCTGACCCCGCAGGCAGGACCCGGGCACCAGCGTGGAGGACATGCTGAGGAGCGTGGTCCCCGAGGGACGGTGTGGAGCAGAGCCTCCAGGCCGACCTGGACTGCTCACGGTGGGAGCCAGAGCAGGCCACGGGGAAAGTGGGCCCCCCTGTCCCAGGGCCTCACCTAAGACATCGGGGAAGCCGGCTTTCTCTCCCACCGCCTTCAGCTTGGTCCTGAGCCACTGCCGGGCCTCAGCTGCATCCCCGATGCGAGAGGCCAGCTCCTGGGCCTCTGCCGTCTCCGTGTAGACGTCCTCAAGCTCGGCCAGGGCCTTGGACTGGAACCCCAGGAGGAGACCGGCTTGCTCCTGTGCCATGGCCGGCTGCCCGCCTCCACTTCCCAGGTCTTACCCAGGGCAGCAGGGCCCAGGCCCTCCCAGCCTCATCGCCCATCTCCACCCACAGCCCGGGAGCCAGGCCTGCCCCCAACCCCGCTTCTCAGGACATGGTCATGAGAGAAGGGCCCAGAGCAGAGGGTCTGTCCAGGGCTTGTCCCAGAGCTGGGGCCAGACACCAGTCTTCCAGCTTCAGTCTGAATCTCGTTCCCCTGAGGCGGGTCCCACCCACCCTGGTCAGGCCCCAGCACAACAGAGAGCCTCTTGGCAGGGCCGGCTCTCCAACCACCGCCCGCCATGCCTCGGGGTGAGGGAGGCCAGTGTACCCTGGAGACCGCAGCCCTAAGAGGGAGCAGACACAGGTCTGCAAGAAGGGGGCAGGGTGGACCCCCGCGCCCCAGACACATACCTGCAGCCGGCAGTGCAGACCCGAGAGGTCACAGTGGGCCCCGAAGGTGGCCTGGAAGGCGTGCAGGAGCAGGGTGATGTAGGCGCTATGGGGCGAGTGCCCGGGCGCGCTCAGCTTGTTGGCCACGGCGAGGAACTCCGCCTGCACCTCCACGGGGTTCAGCAGCAGCACGGTGCTGGGGGCACAGAGGAGTGGCTGTGGGCACCGGGGCGCCGCCACACGCCTCATGCTGGGGTTGGGTCCCCCCGAGGCCTGGGCCTCCTCACAGCCCGGGCAGGGCCTGCGGCCACGAGAGAGGTGGGGGCTCAAGGGTCCCGGTTCCAAGAGGAAAGTGTATGATCTACTTTTGAGTATTTTTTCAACCAGTGTTTTCAAAGACCTTTTCAACACTGAACTCAATTTTTTAAAAATAAGTTTTACCTTAATTTTTATATAAACGTTTTTTTTTTTCTCTACAGGACATCTGAATGGATATAAGATTACTCAAGAGAAGACCGTGTTTTAGGTGAGGTCGCTGGAAGCCAGGCGATCATTTTGGGAAGGGGAAGCAGACAGACATATGCCGTGGTGCAGGGGGGCTGAAATTTTGGCCCCTGCCCTGCTCCTCAAGCCACGGGTTGCAGGGAGGGTGGCATCTGCCAGGAGGAAGGCGGGCCAAGCCAGGGCTGCATCCGAGTCCTCTGCCCCCGGGGGACCCTCTTCTAACTGCCCGCGCATCACACAGGCCGGCACTGGCCGGGGAGGAGTGTGTGTCCAGCCACCTCCGCCTCTCTCCCCGCTCCACCCCGGCTCCTCCTCGGTGCGTGTGAAATGTGTTCATTATGAAAATTTCAAACATACACAAATGTTGAGAACCGTGAACCACGAGGTGTCAATTACTCAGTTAACGGTTAACAACCCAGGACGGTTCTCAGGTCGCCCACGCCGACCCTCGTCGCTGCCTCTCCTGGAACGTGTCTGAGCCATCACGGTGCCCCTGCGCCCGCCCGTGCACGCTGTCATGCCCATGGCTCCCCTTCGCCGCGCTCTCTCCCAAACCCACGCCGCGAGCTGCATTCACACCAGTGCAAAGCAACGCCAGGCAGGCGATGCAACCCCCAGTCCCTGTGGGCATCTGCCCGGAGCGGGGCCCTGGGCTCAGGACCGGGCGCTGTCAGAGGCATCACCGTGGGGAGAAACTATGTTTGATTTCTCTCTTTAGAAGAAAAAGGAGGCAGGCTCACGGAAGCAGCCCCTCACTGAGCCCCTCCCCTTCGCTGAGGGCTTGATCCCAGGTGCTGGGCACACAGGACCTCACTTTCCCCCACTTGACTCACTGTGTGCAGGACCAGCCCGGCCAGCCTGCGCCCTCGCCGCCTGCACGCCATCTCCGCTGGAAAACCGACCATCTCTCCTGACTCACGGAAAACAGGAGTGGGTTCCCCCTCAGCCCTGAGACCTGCTACTAACCTCTCAGAACCTCAGTTCCCCGACCTTAAAAATGCCTTTTCCACAAGGTCAGCACGGGGATTGCAGGAAGCAGCCATGCCCACAGCAGTGCCCAGAGCTCAGGAAGTGCCCGGGCGATGTTGGTGAGCGTTCACCAGCCCCCTGGCCCTGCCTGGGAGGGAGCTTATTTACTTGCTAAGCTAACATTTACACATATGCTCGTCCCTCTGTCTCTCTCAGGACCTGCACTGCCTGGGGATGGGAGGGCGGGGTGACTACAGTTTCTGCTGCTGGAGCTGAAGCGTCTGGGCGCCCCGGTGTCCGGGTGAGACAGCGCCCACATGCCCGGAGACCCCCTGGAGGGTCCTCGGAACGGAGGCTGCTCTCCTAGTGTTTGTCACACTGCAGACCCGGACCCGTGAGTGGGCAATGCAATCCATTTGCGGGGTCACCACCAGAATTGCCTTTTAAATGAAATGGAATAGAAGGGGACAGAGCCCACCCTAGGAGGTAAGGGTAAGTTTCAATTCATGAAACCTGTCTTAGCTGTGTGTGTGTGTGTGTGTGTGTGTGTGTGTGTGTGTTTGTGTGTGTGTGTGCGCGCGCGCGCGCGCGCGCGCGCCAGGCTGTCATAGAAAATGAATTCTTTATTGCAGATAAGCCGGCCGAAAGACACTGTGGGAAGAGCATGGGATTCCGAGGAGGACTGAGGTTCCGGTCCTGGCTTAGAAGCTCATTGCGAGGAGGACTGAGGTTCCGGTCCTGGCTCAGACGCTCATTGCTGTGTGACCTTGGGGAAGTTACTTGGCCTCTCTGACCTCCGGTTTCCTCATCTGAAAAGTGGGGTGAAGTGAGGTAATGTGTGCCCAGCACCTGGCATGATCAATGCAGGTGATTCTTAACCTTTTTTATTTTTTAAGTCTCAGACCTGTTTAGGAATCTGATGAAAGACCCTCAGCCCAGAAAGCGGCTCTGTGCACAAAACATCACCAGCAATCCCGGGGTTCCAGGTCTAAACCTGTCTGCGGGGGCTTGGTTGGGGTGCAGCGAGAGAGGGATGCAGGGGTGCTGGTGCAGGAATGGTGAACAGTGGGCGTAGTCCCATCCCCACCCCACCCCACCCCACCCCACGCCGTTTCTCGCTCCCCAAGAGCACTCACACAGTGGAGCTGCGATGACTCCGCAGGGGCAGACCCTGCTCAGCCCGCACCAGCCGCTGGTAGGAGATTCCTGTGGCCAAAGAAAAAGAACAGATTCACGCGGTTACCTGGTCCTTCGGCGCTCGTGGCCTGCGCCTCACAGTGGCCGCACCGGACAGTTAGGATGGGAGTTCCTGGATGGGTCAGATCACGCCTGACGCCTACGGGGCCTCTGACAAGATGAGCCCCAGGCCCCACCTGGCTCCAGCCACCTGCCAAGCTTTGCTCCTCAGAGGCAGCGGGGCAGAGCACCCTGAGAGGAGAACCGAGGCCGGTCCCTGCTGTCCAGCAGTCCTGGCTCTTGTCACACTGCCCTCTCTCAGTCCCGGTGTCCGGCAGTGGGCACGCCGGGCACCCCTCGGGCCATCCCTCAGCCTCAGCCCCTCCCACACTCTCTCCTTCCACATCTTGGCCTGGCCTCCACAACTTTTCAGGGGCCACAGACCCCTGATGGGGTCCTCCCAGACTGAGCCTCTGCACCCCCCGCCCCCAGCCTTCCTCTCTGCCCCGTCCACCAGCCAGTCTCCTTGACTTCAAATGTGTGGAGAAATGGACTCAAGTGTTTCCTGCAACTTGGCTCAGTTCTGCAGCTGGAAGCAGACCCTCCACAGAGTGTCTTCGGTTCTGTGTCACCCTCGGGAGGAGATGAAAGCGCGTTTCACTCCCCTCACTGACAAGGGTGACAGAGCAGGGGCTGGGCCTCAGGGGACAGCGCCCTTGTTAGAGCCTGGAAGTCTTTACGGGGTCCCTGTCTCCCTGTCGGGGGCAGGGCCAGCCCGGGCCGGTGGGAGTGGGGAGCAGGAAGGCGATCCACTCGGGAAGCGTTGCAGAAAGCAGGAAGAAAGGCCCTGATGCTCGTCTAACACAGGGAAGAAAATGGCCAATGTATGCATTCTGACTTAGCACCTAATTGCTTTGATCTGGGCCTTCTGCGTGGTGTTTCTTTTATGTAACTGTCACATGTTTGGACGTGACTGTTGTGTCTGTTTTGATAGGAGAGTCCCCGGACAGTGGCTGTTCCTATCAGGACTGGGACGCTGTCTGGCAGCTCTCACAT